TGGGCGTACTTTTGATCACTTGGTTGGTGCTATTTGGGCTTATGGGCCTTCGCCCTCCATAATATGCCAGCCCATTTATTTTGGGCTTTGCCCTTTTTATTTTATTTTTTATTACCCTCTGATGGGGTTTATACAAATGTCTGCAGAAGATAAGAAAAGTAAATTACATCATTCAAAGATAAGGAAAGTAAATCACATCATTCTGGTGGGGTGTTATTCCTTGCTTTTTGCAGTGTGGGTGTTTATTCCTTGCTTTTGCAATGTCGCCATGTGCTCTTGCAGAGGAAAGCCTCTCATTTGCTTTCTGCTTTTTCTCGGTTTTTTATGCTTTGCTTTCGCTTTTGTTTCTGTTTTTCTGCTTTGTTTCCCACTGTTTTTCTGCTTTTCTTTCTTATTTGCTTTTGCTTTTGCTTTTCTCAGCTTTCTGCAATTATCTCCGAGACTGATCGAGTAGTGGGCTGTCTGCTGGCACCGCTTTGATTTGATTCCCAAAACTCATTGCTCCCACTATCTATATCAAATATTGGGATGGCAAAGTGGGACCTAGGAGGTTAGTGAGGTTGAAGCTTACTCTGTCAACATGATGGGATGATTTTTGCAGAGAGAGATAGATCTGAGCTTCGCACAGTACTCTTCCTACATCACAGACGCCCCATCGTCACCATATCTCCGGGATGACGTGGAAGAGAAACCATAGACGTAACTTTTCGTGTATTTAAGCATGAAGAAAACAATTTGGGAAAGGAGAAGCACCATCCAAGTTCTGCAAATACTGATCTCATACCTGGATCCATGGTTCCAAGCCTTGTGTGGTCAACTCCTCTTGAGCTTCTAAAAACCGTCCATGTTGCAAGGTAGGAACCAGTCCACTGGCCTCACGGCTGGCCTGCTGGTTTGAGAGCCTGTTGTGGTCATCGTCGTCGTCGTTAGATCGGAATAGTGACTTTGTTAGGTGCACAAGACCCCAATCTTGCTTGATCACATCCAAAGAAGCCAGTTCAAGCACCCCACTCAAAGTTGCAATACAAACCAAAGTTTGGATTCCATGCATTCTTGCTTCTTTCACTCTCTCACACTCGTACAATTGAAACTCATGATCCCCTGCAAGCCAAACAAATCCTCCGGAACAAAATGCTCGTCCCAAAATGTTATTATCTGAAATTGATGAGATCTGATCTTTTGTCTTGTTATTCTTGAGCTTATTCTTCTTTGTAGCTTTTCTGCTTAATTTGCCAGAACACAGGAACCAACTCATGGCTTTTCTTCGACCTCTTGCTGATCTTGTTTGAGCTGGATCTTGTAGCGGTCGAGGCCATCGTTTAGCTGGAGAGACGAGATTCATTCGTCGACCTGATTGACATTGACGTCATTAGAGTGCAACTGGGAATGGATCGGGACGGCGTCATTTCTGATATGGTCTTCGGAGTCAACGGCGGAGACTGGCTGGTAGAACTCGACGGCGGGTGCATCGTCATCGTCGTCGATGTTGGTGTCGGAATCATTCCCGTTCTGGTAATTTGTGACTTGGATGACGTCAGGCGGAGTTGTGGCGTTCATCGTCGTCATTTCAACTATATCCGCTGTTGCAGCACAGTAGGGAGGTCGTCGATCCGACCCGAGAGGACTTTAGACTCGTTCTTCAACACAAAGTCGTTGTGGAATGAGCAGACCCTGGCTGGGAAGCTTGGTGGGTTCTTTGTCAGCACCGGGACTCAAGGCGGCGGCCACAAAACCACCCTTTAAGCTTTTGCCTCATTTCTCAATTCTAAACTTCTTTTATGAAATAAAAAAAAAACTGAGAAGTTGAATTGGGAGTTGAATTGTTTGGTTGGTCTGCAAATCCACGGCGGAGGTGAAAAAATGAAAAAGAACCGACACAACTTTTTATATCAATTCCTACAGACGGCACCAAATGTTGATGCACAAAACCGGAGGTCTTGGAACAACGTAAATCCAACCGTGAATCTGCAAGTAATGTAAATAACACAAGATGTATCGTGGTTCACTCCAAGGTTTGGGCTACGTCCATACTGATATTGTATTTCTCTTAGAGAATTGTGAAGGAGATGGAGCTATGAATGAGAGTCAGAGCTTTGAGAGGATGAAGGGTTAGGCCTAAGAATTGGCCTCCTCTAATTGTGAGAGTGGGGAGTCCTTTTATAGAATAAGGGCTCCTCACTTATTACATATTTGCCCATTCATTTCTTACATAATTACATTTAAGTCTCCTGAGTATTTATACGAAGTCTAAATACGGAGGCCCTAAGTATGGTATAAACAAACTTGATCTTCAATTTAAAATATTTACACTAGTGGATACCACAAAATCTTATGTTATACTTAATGAAAGTGTGAATAAACTCTTAAGTGTTAGTGAATCTATTGTTTTGATGAGATACACATTCTAAGAAACTAGTTTCAACGATCCAACCATCAAACATGTTTGTATATGCTTCAAGATCGCATACGCCAAAAATTATAGAAAACAAACATTCAGAGATCAAGTAACGGGACAAAACTTTTCGACGGTTATCAACGAAAAATCACGATTTAATGGTTATTTTAACTCCGATTTTGATGATTTTTTACAGCTACACTCCTTGACCCTATATGAATACAATGAATAAACTCGATCTTCAATTTAAAATATTCACACTAGTGGATATCATAAAATCTTATGTTATACTTAATGAAAGTATGAATAAACTCTTAAGTGTTAGTAAATCTATTGTTTTGATGGGATACGTATTCTACGAAACTAGTTCAACAATCCAACCATCAAACATGATTGTATATACTTCGAGATCGAATACACAAAAAATCGCAAAAAACAAACATTCAGAAATCAAATAATGAGACAAAAAATTTCGACGGTTATCAACTAAAAATCACGATTTAACAGTTATTTTAACTCTGATTTTGATGATTTTTTACAACTACACTCCTTGACCCTATATGAATTACAATGAATGAATTTGATCTTCAATTTAAAATATTTACATTAGTGGATACCACAAAATCTTATGTCATGATGATTGATGAAAATTGAAGATTTTGTAAAAGGAATAACATGCAAGCTTTAAGTTCCATTGGCGAGGTTTAAACTTTTGAGAAAGGCTTCACAACCTTGAAAGCAAAAACTTTTTCATTTTGCATATCCTTGCACATTTAATATTTTGTAATAGACTAATAGTGTATGGATGTTTGTTTATTAGGCTCTTATTTTCAAGTGTAGATGTAGTACTAAAACGACAAATGTGTTTTAATGTTTTGAAGTAATATTAATGTGACAATGTGTGGTATGTGCAAATTTATGAAGAAAAAAATATTTTTCTTAACGGGTCATAATGGGTCATAACAGGTCAGGTCACTTTACCCAACTAACGGGTGTGACACGACACGACCCGTTAAGATAACAGATGTTATACAAAAACGACACGAACATGACAGACACGACCCGTTTGCCAGGCCTAATTTAATGCACAAAAGGTTCTCTACCCTTCAACACCATTGCTCAAAGGGAGTGATTTTCACATTTCCCTTTTCTTTACATTCCACTATTTTTTTTTCTCGTCTTTGACTAACATAAATAAGGGCGGATCAAGAAAAAACACAAGAGATGGAAAATGAGTGTTACTATCTTGTCACAAACGAAAGCTTTTGAGTTCCCTCTAAATAACTCAAATTAGTTTCCGTGAATAACCAAACATGCAAAGCAAAGTGTGTTTCGTAAGAGAAATTTTTTTTGTAAGGGTAACACCACGCGACATATTGATTATCCCATTGTAAAGATTGCACGGCCTAATTATCGTCAAGTGCAATAGTTTGTGGCATCTGATTTTTAAGTTATTGAGAGCCTTTGTAAATAAAATTTAACCCTACAACAATACTGCATAGTGCATACTGGTTGTTATATGATTTGGCACGATGTCATTTGATTGGACATATCACATATCAAGCTAGAATTTTCTGTTGGCAGTAAAGTTCATATCAGCTATCAAGTAAATATATCAATACTTTCCAGTTTTTCCCTGTCTGTATATATCTCTATTCACTCCATCCAGTTCTCCGAGTTCTCATTATTATTGTTTTTACCTTTACTTTGGATTATTTGACTGAAAACTCATGTGACTTTAGAATGGTAAGTTGGTAGCACTGAATGGCATAAATTACTCTTGGACGCTCTCGGACATTTTTTTCTGCCACGTCCACGTCCGTGTTTCTTTTATGAGTCAAGTTCAATTAATTGGTTCCACGAGTGATAGAAATGCTTATATCCGGCAGCCGTATCAAGCACTGCACTCTGTCATTTAAAAGGTGGCCGGACTCAAGTACATATCTTTCCTCTAGAGGGGGCCTTCTAGTTTTTCATGACAAGAAAATATCAAGCCTCTTTCTAGCATAGTGATTAGTGGGCTTCAAAACTGTGTTTGATGTAGGAGTTGTGTAATACAAATTAAGACCCATTTAGCTATGCTGTTTACTTCTTTTCTAACAGAAAAAGTAATTTGGTAACATGTTTCAATGAAAACGGGTGCCTGCTTTATTATTTTTTTTGGGAGTTTTAACGAAAAACTCGCGGTACTGTTCATTTTAACGAAAAATCATATTTTTACACTAAAAAGTCAAACCTGGTACTATTCACTTTACCCTTTATTTTATCCTTATCGTTAAAACTCAAAGTTTTCAAACCCTTTTCATTAATTTTTCTTTATTTTTACCAGATTACTGATCTTTACAGCTTCAAAATGGCGGTCCAAAAAGCAACAAGTAGTTGGTTTTACCTGGCTGCGGATGTCCCATTTTAATCTGAAACACCAGGAACCAAGAATATGGTCCTTAAGCCAGCAACCCAACAATCAGAATTTTACAGTTTCCTAAGCACTATTTAACTAGCACGAACTGTGGTTAAAAAATAAAAAAATAAAAAAACAAAACAAAACAAAATAGCTTTTTAGGAAGCACTAGGGCATGGCAGTATTAAACAAAGGGACTTGATAAAACAGAATAGAATGGTGGCCACATATAGCTATTAATTTGTTGGGTACTCCAATAGACAAAGAGACATTTACTTACAACGAGATTGTAAATTAGTCACCTTACTGCTATCATTTTAACTTTTTCACATAACAATGTATAATTAGTTTGAATACAACTTCAATGACATTCCCGTGATAAGAAAGTTGCTCTCCACATTTTCTTATAAGTAACAGATAGCAAAGGTCGGTCCCAAACTAAAAGCAAACTACAAAAAGTGAAGAATATGATAAGATGGGTTCTAATCTTGATTCTTCTACTACTCACTCAACTTCTTCCTAGCTAGTTCCTTCCAAGCAATACAGAATCTGGTTCCTCCACTCACTCATGCTAACATTGCCTTTACACTAATATTAAATTATTAATTATTAATTAATTAATTAATTAATTAATTCACATCCAAACCATACATCTAAAACACCTTCCCAGTTTTTGGTTTTTTTTCTTCTCTCTCTCTCTCTCTCTCTCTCCCACTCTCTCTTCAGTTACCTGTTAAATTATTTCTTGGCCTCTAGTTTGGTAGGACAAGGTGGAGAGGCAGGTGATGCTGATGACACAGTAGGCCAAAACTGAGCGTTCTTCACCTTTGAGACACTGGCAAGGACACTCAATGGGGTTACATCTCCAGTGACTGTCACCTTCTTTGCTGCGAAGTCTATGTTGAATGATGTCACCCCTGCCCACATAATTGAAACACAAATATTGAGTTAAGTTTATACATTCATTGATAAAATTAAAATTACCATAAGTAGATGTTAGCTATGTTGAATGAAATGTTATTGCAATTGAGAAAGGGAAACGATTTCCGCACACTCTTTTTTTCTCTCTGCACACTTCAATTCATTATTGTTTCTTTATTCTTGTTTGATTTATTTCAATACAAAGATCAGAAATAGACATGGGTGTGCCGTGTGCATGAGAAGAAGGGAATGGGTGCGGAATTCACTTTCCTGGAATGATGCAATCTAGTAAAAATGTTTCAGCTTTAAAGAGCTAAACAAATTACCTTCCATTCTGGATAGATGTTTTCTCAGTTTTCCTACACACCCTTTGCAGTGAAGGGACACCATCAATACAACAACCTGCAAAAGAAGATCATTTTAGAAGTAATCATTTAAACAATTACTCAAGGCTTTGATTATTCTCCGACCTGGGATTCATACTCTCGACAATTTAAACCAAATTTGAAACCATTAACATTCTTTAATGTTACCTCTATGCATATAAACTAACAATCTGAGCAAGAAAAACAGAAAAATTTGGACAAACCTGGCTGGAAGGCGGTGGCAGTGGCGGTGGCGTTGGTGGTTTTTTGTCTTTTGTCAGAGATGAGGAAGAAGAGCCAATTGAAGAGGTAGTAGATTTATTTTCTGTGATTATTTTCACTGCATTCTTTTTCTGCCCAACCGGAACCAATGCCAAAACCGGATCGTAATCCGATAACCCATCAAAGATCACAGTATCACTCAAAAGGGATCTCGAGGAGCCAGGAGGAGTAATAAGATCGATAGGGTTGGCAGAGCTCTTCCTAACAACACTCTCACTTAGAACAGAAGAAAACTTCTTAACATTTTCATCCAACTTTCCATGAAAAATATTACTAGTACTCTTCCTCTTCTGATCATTTTCTTTTGAGGAGCTCTTGGTACTTGGTCTAAGTGACGAGGAGGTTGCTTTTTTCTTGTTCTTTGGGAGTTGGTGGTAGGCCTTGGGGTTGATGGGGGATTGGGAAGAGCATGGAGCAATGGGAAGGGTTCTGGAGCTTGTGCTTCTTCTTGCATCTTGGATGATGGGGTTGTGGCGGTCGAGGGCTCGGCCGCCGAGTTGTACGATGGAGGAGGATGCTTGATGATCCATGTTCATGCATATGGCTGTTGAAGCTTGGGATGCACAGAATATGTCTATGCCTTTCATCTTCATATTTGATATGATAACACAGTGTGGGAACCAGTGGTTTAGAGAATCTGCATAAAAGGGGAAATGAGAGAGAGAGAGAGAGAGAGAGAGAGCTAGGTTTAGAAAAGATGGTAGGTAGTTTAATTTCTGCTTTTGAGGTTGAAGCTTCGTCTTGGAGATAAAACATAATATGGTTTTAGATTCCAAGCAAGTTAAAATAATGATTGTTTTGCTAGTTAGAAAAATGATTTAATTGTGTAAAACACAATTAGTGATACAAATAATACAAATAAATAAATCAAAGAAGACAGGGTGTTTTTATTTGGGTCTCAATAAAATTTTACCAATAATTTCAACCAGATTAAAGAAAAAAAAAAGTGTCTGCACCAAAATAAAAATTAACTTATATCCTCTAATAACAAGTCGATAATCAAATATGGCGGTCCTTCAAACCAAACGATCTCTTGCTCTTCTTGACTCCCTTTCGAGTTAGTCTCTGTGTAGTTTTTTTTTTTTTTAAATAACTATAGTATCTATACTAATGGGGTAGAGGAGTGGAATAAGTCTCACAATCGGTTAACAATAATATGGTTTAAATTCGCTTTTGACAAAAATTAAACTTAAGACCTCACTTACAAGTGAAAAGAAATATACTACTACACCATATCATTAAGTGGTAGTCTTTGTGCAGTTAGATGAAGTAATGTAGGAGTGTCGGTGTGCCATACATAGGTAGTTGTATAACTTGTATTTGCAATATTATTATATTTTTGGTATTCCTTCATTTGGTATCATTTTTTTTTTTCGTTTTTGAAGTAATAAAGGGATGGATCATGAGAGCATCAGATATTGCAAATGGTACACTAGGACCAAGATAAATAGATATTTAATTAGGGCATTTATTAGTGTAATTTCAAAGCTAAATATCTTAATTTTAAATTGATAAGTGTGGACGACCCGTGACAATTTCCTTTGGATGCTTTAACCTTAAGATTTATATAATATTGGAAAGTGAATTTAATATGAAATTGATTCCTGCAAGAACTAATTTATTGTATGGTCTGATAAACTGTTGGCCTGCTGGGGCATGCATGCCCTACAAATTTATTTTCTCTACTTATTCACTCACACTCTTGGCAGCAACTTGTCCCCCATATGTTTTTTTTTTTTTTTTAAATGAAAACAAACAATTGATCAGAAGAGACAGACCAACGGCTTCCTCAGTTCAGTGTGACGGTCACTCGGGTGTTACAAATTCACTTAAATTGTAATATGTATTAAATTATGAATAGGATAATTAGCTGAAATAATTAGTTTTTGACGTTTAATTGTATAAATGGTCAGATTTTAGTAATGATGACATTTTAATCATATATCAATGACATAATAACCACACAACGATAATATAACGATCACATTATAAAAACTGATCATTTCTATAACTAGATATCAAAAATTGGTCTATCCAACTAATTGCCCTTATAAATATTCTCTTTTAACTCTGTGATACATCAATCATGTCTCTCTTCATATTATAACACGTGGCAGGACAGTCACTCAGAGTAATTTGGTATCCCCCTTGTTTTTGGTATATGTCGTGGGTTCAAATCATATTGAAATCGCAAGAAGCTTGTAAGTAACTCAGTTGACTAAAAACATTTCTCTTTGTAACTGAGGTGAAGAAATTTTCTTTTTAAGTGAAAACTGAAATTATATTGAAATCAAAACTAAAAAGAAACCTGAAAAGAGAAAATTAAAGGTTTGAAGAATTAAAGAAGGCCCTACAAAAACGTTCCTAAGAGCCAATCACACCAGCAATGGAACAAAAATATGAAAGGAAAGCTTTCCAGATGATTTTTATCATGCAATTATTTAGATTCCTGTGGAATAAATGCTGCCAGCATAAGTTTACAAATAAATAAAAGATGAAGAAGAAACCATTTGGAATTTTTCTTTCTTTTCTGTGGATGGATGAGACTCAAAGTCACTCACTCTCAGTGATATTCCTGCTTCTCAAAGCCTTATGGGATCAGATGCTGCTTATATAAATGGCTATCATGATTCATCCAACTCCTTTCATTTTCTTCCTTCATGTCCCCTGCCAACCTAATTCAGTCCCCTTATCCATAAGCCATAGTTTAGAGGACAACTTATATAGAATGAGTTTACCATTATCATAGCGTCTCGGTCTAATAATGCATTGACATGAGTAATTTTATCTCCAAATAACAACGTATTACTTAATTAAAATGTCACGGTAGCGATGAGTTCGTTTCATATAAATTATTCTTGTAGTTATAGACTCCGTCAAAAGACAATAAGACATGGGGGATCTTTTTAAGAAGAAAAATAAGGATGTTATGAGAAATGGCACATTGTATTGTATGGAGGTGGAAAATGGTGGGGTTGTTTAGAAGGTAGTCTTTCTTCTTTTTTTGCTTTTAAGTTGGGTCAAAACTTTATTAGAAAATCATATATAGATGTGTGCTGTAAGTGATGAAAAAAGCTCTGCTCTCACTTTATTACCAACCAATTCAAAAGGAAAAGGCAAAAAACGAACAAAACTTTATTGGATTTTAGGTCGGCAGAGTGTTCGGCACTCAAGCTAAGGGAAGAGCCAAACCCAAAAGACTCGTCCAATAGGTAGGAGGACCCCAAGAACTTAAGTACCACTACACCATTTCTGGTGTAGCTAGGCCTGGGCATGGTTCGGTACGGTTTGGTACCGGGGTAGTACTGAAACCGAACCTATAGTAAAATTTCGATACGGTTCGGTACGGTATGAATGGTTGTACCGACTTAGTCCCGAACCTAATAGGTTCGGTTCGGTTCGGTCCAAGTATATGTTCGGTACGATGTTTAGACATGGGTTTGAATCAGATGTTTAGACATGGGTTCGGTCCAAGTATAGGTTCAGTACGGTGCTTAAGGCTTGCAGTGGCATGCCGAACCTCGAAATGGGTCGATAGGTTCATGGACAGGTGTTTAGATATGGGTTTGAATCAGATGTTTTTGTGCAGAATAGTCTCATGGCGTTGTATGCTAAATGTGGTCGAATAGATCGTGCTAGGGCTGTGTTTGATGGTTTAGGTGGGATGACGGTTGTTTCCTGGACTTCGATGATTTTGGGGTATGCCCAGAATGGCCAGCCTTTGGAAGCTTTGAGATTTTTTGGTCTGATGAGAAAATTGAATGTGAAACCGGATTGGATCGTTCTTGTTAGTGTTCTAAAAGCTTATACTGATGTAGAAAACTTGAGACAGGGGACATTTGTTCATGGTTGTTTGATTAAAATGGGTCTGCAATTTGAACCTGACTTGCTCATTGCACTCACGGCAATGTATGCAAAAAGTGGGCAGGGCAGGTAATGGCTGCCAGATCGTTTTTTGATCAGATGCAAACACCGAACGTAATACTGTGGAACGCTATGATATCTGGTTATGCGAAGAATGGTTATGCTAACGAGGCTGTAGAGTTATTCCAGGAGATGATCACAACAAATTGTAGAACAGATTCAGTAACAATTTTAATTGAAAAATTGATCGGTACGGTTCGGTACCGAACGTAGAACCGAAACCGAACCAACTACACAAAAAACCGAACCGATTTTGTACCCATACCGAATGAACCGAAAAAAAAAACCGAACCGACCGGGTTCGGTTCGGTTCTCGGTATTTTTTGCCCAGGCCTAGGTGCAGCCGATGTGGGATTATAACATCACACCACCCTTCGAAAGACTCGACGTCCACGGCGGCCCTTACTCTGGTGGCTTTCACTCTTAACGGCGACGCACTCTTTGGTCGTCCCATTAAGGTAGCCCTTTCCAGGTCGCCCCCTCCGTGGCAGCCCTTACTCTGGTGGCTTTCACTCTTAATAGCGGTGCACCCTTTGTTCGTCCCGTTAAGGTAGCCCTTTCCAGGTCGCCCCCTCCACAGGGTCGGGAACCTAGGCTCTAATACCAATGTTAGGTACTCAAGCCCAAAGGAAGAGCCCAACCCAAAAGGCTAATCCAATAGGTGGGAGGACCCCAAGAACTTAAGTACCACTACACCATTTCTGGTGTAGCTGATGTGGGATCATAACATAGAGCCAAGTTGTTGGGATAAAAAGGGTTTGCATATATAAAAAATTATTTGAAGTTGATGGATTTTACTCATTCTTGCTAAACAAGTAAAATAGTTATCACCACTTTTCGCTCATACCCACTAGGGTTTTTATCACAAATGGTCCCTGACATTGATCAAACACATCATTTTGGTCCCTGACATTGAAAATCAATAGAAATGGTCCCTGACATTGATCAAACACATCACAAATGGTCCTTCCGTTAAAAACTCTTTGGGCAATTTTCAAAGCTTCGTGACTCAATCGTTTCTTAACCAAATTCGACCCATAATATATCAAATGAAGATAGAAAAGTGTAGAACAATATTATACCTATTTGGAAGCCCAATGATTGCCGGAGATGGCCGGAAAATAGCCTCAAATGTGACTAGTCCAAGGAAAAATTGGAAAACTCGTTGGAAGTTGGGTAAACTTTAAACATTCATAACTTCTTCAATACTCAACGAAATTGAGTGATTCAAAAACAAAAATCATACTTCTCGACGATACGAAGAGAATGGTATCTTCTTGATGGCTAACTTGCCGTAGTTTGGCCGGAAAACGGGTCGAAATTGGCTAACTCGAAAATGGTTATCCAATTTTGAGCCATTTTTCGGTCAAACCACGGTGAATTAGCAGTCAATAAAGGTACCACTCTCTTTGTCTCGTCGAGAAGTATGATTTTTATTTTTGAATCACTCAATTTCGTTGAGTATTGAAGAAGTTATGAATGTTTAAAGTTTACCCAACTTCCAACGAGTTTTCCAGTTTTTCCTCGGACTAGTCACATTTGAGGCTATTTTCCGGCCATCTCCGGCAATCATTGGGCTTCCAAATAGGTATAATATTGTTCTACACTTTTCTATCTTCATTTGATATATTATGGGTCGAATTTGGTTAAGAAACGATTGAGTTACGAAGCTTTGAAAATTGCCCAAAGAGTTTTTAACGGAAGGATCATTTGTGATGTGTTTGATCAATGTCGGGGACCATTTCTATTGATTTTCAATGTCAGGGACCAAAATGATGTGTTTGATCAATG